AGGGAGGAGCTCGCCAACGCGGATGGGGGACGTAGGTGCGGGTGTGGGGAGGAGCTCGACGGGACGCGTCCGCCACCGACCACCTCGTCGTCCTCACGGGCACAGGTGCGTGGGAGAGGGAGAGGGTCGCGCTGTCCGCGCGTAGCGTGATGGGTCGCGAAGTAACTTTTTTCGAAAATTATAGTGTTTTTCTTTGATATAAATAAAAAACCACTTCGCCCATGAGCTCGGACAACCACCCGGATCGTCGGGTAGTGGCTCCACATTGTGCTATCCAGTGGTCTTCTTTGGCAATGCCTCATGCGTTTTATTTCTTTTGCCGTGACACTGTACTCTCTCCGGACCAAAATGAACTAGCAAATAGAAGAAGACGGTGAACCCAGCCTAGAGGGGCATCATTGGCTTCTGCTACCTTAGTGCTACAGTGAACTGAAGTGTATAAATTGAGGCCATGACAAGCCCAATCAAAGAAGCAAGCTACAATAGCGGCCAAAGCAACATCTAACGAAGCTCAACCAAATGAACCTTTAATTGCATCCCCATGATTTTTAGAATTAGACACCCTAATTTCTTCCAAAGGGGTCTATTTGTTTCCACGACCGAAAAAATTGATGCAAAGCACCACACTCTCAACAACTCACCTCAGGGTCGGAGGAATTAAGGAATGAGAGTGACAGTGGCAGATTAGTAAGGAAAGCAGTAGTCTATTAAAGTAGAAGCTAACAAATGAAGTTTATGAGCCAGCCTCTCATCCCTCATGTTCGCTCAAAAAAAAGTTTATGAGGAAGGATACAATAGCAAGAGTCTACTAGTGAGACGAGAGGAGTTTTCGATCACGTCAAAAATAAAAAAGAGAAAAGTTGCTTCAGAAAAGGAAAAAAGGAAAGGAAAATTAAAACATACTGTATCAGTATGTTTTTCCTCTCCCCTCTCCTTCCTCCAAGTATGATGACCTCAGGTGAGTCTTTGGGTTGATTTGAGGGTAGGGACGGCCCGGGATCTAGCGAGCTTCAAGAGAAGCCTAGGGCGACAGACCACTTAGGCACGCCGGGCTGTCATGAAGACGACTCTTGTGAAGACGGTTCACATGGCAACAGATCTAACAATGGGAGCCACTAAAGAGAAGAAAAAAAAGGTGAGGAATGGGCAAGAGGATTGTGAAAATGGATGCCATAGGCGAGAGAAAGAGGTTATTGAGGCCAAAAAGACAACAAAACTCACCGGAGAGAGCAAATCGATGTCGATGATCAACGGGAAAAGGTGTTTCTTCAGTGGTTCTCGCCGAGTTGAAAGGGGAAAGGAGATGAAAAATGGCGGCTAGGATTATATGAGAATTCTTAAGGAAAGGGGAATATAGAGGTAGGACGACGATTAGGGTTATATTTTTACGGAGGATGCATGAGGCTTCTCTTGTGGGCCTAAAAAACATCGAGTGTCTCTAAATAGGCCCATGAAGGAGATAGATTGGACAGGGACAACACGTTGCCTAGTGAGGATTGGGTAGAGAAAAGACTATGAAGGGAAAAGGAAGGGTTCATTTCATGATATTACAAGGACCTAGGCCAGTGGAAAAAGAAGAGTGTTTTACCTATGAGCCACTAAAAAAGTTGGAAATTTCATATATGCCACTAAAAAGTTATGATGCCTATGTACCACTGCCATTAGTTTCATTAGGGTCAACATCCATGTTAGCGAGACCAGAGCTCCAATATTTTTCAAAATAACAATTTTGCCTCCTCTTTCCGTTAGTCGTATCACATGGCACTTAGAGCTTCAACCAGGATCCCAAGGTGCCTCAAATTTATGCATTCACGTGTTTGGTTCTTCAACCTGGCTCGTGTGGTACAATTTGGGAACATATTTTTCTTCCACCCTTGGTTGATCACTGCACCCTTCTTTGTCGTAGCATAATAAATTGTTGTAATTGCTGCTATTGACAAGGCCGACCTTGATGAATTTTGGATGTTTTCTCCATGAACAAGTTGTCGTCTCTGCCACCAAATATATCAGCAACCGATCAAAATGAGTTCAGCTCGGCCAAGGTTGAGCTCCCTCACCTCACCACCAGTCCTAATAACTTCCTGGATAAGAATAGACCCCGATCTATCGACGCTCATCATTCTCTTAATATGTTCCCAAATGCCCAGCGAGGTCCAAACTTCCCTTGCTCATCTGCATGAAAATAATGTGTGCTTAATGTCCTCCGCCTCCGTTTGGCACAAGGATAGTTAACTGCATTGGTGATGTGCTTATTCGCCAGAATCACATGGCATGGAATACAGCCATGAAGTGCTCGCCATGCAAAAAATTTCACCTTACTAGGAATCGACAGTTTCCAGAGTTTCTTCCATACTAAGTCTGCCCCGCCCCTCCTGATGATGAAGCTACGGGTCTGGACCCAAATTTGGATGACCACTAGCAATGATATGCTGATTTAACTGTGAATAATCCATTGCGATTAAAGTGCCAAGCAACCAAATCCTCCTGGCCACTATAAATTGGAATTTGTAAGATCATGTGCACATCAATCGACCAAAACAAAGATCTGATGAGTTGTACATCACAACTTCCATCAATTGGATTAATAAGCTCCTCCACCATAGAGATTAGAGTGTTTCCTCTCAGTGTTAGAACCTTCATATTGCGACTCCCTGGAATCCAATTATCCCTCCATATATTTATTTGTGTGCCATCTCCCACGCTCCAAATATAGCCACGTTTAAAGCAATCCAGCCCCGCGAGCATACTCTGCCAAGTGAAAGAACTCCCGCTTCTCATCTTCGCCCGAAGAAGTTTCCCATCCGGATAATAATTTGCTCTCAACACCCTTGCACATAACGGGTCTGGATCGTAGAGAACTCTCAAGCATAGCCAAATTGAAACTGTGGAAATCCCTAAACCCCATACCACCTCTATTTTTTTGGTGAACATAATTTCCACTATGCTTGCCAATAGATCCTTTTCTTATCATCGTCATCACCCCACCAAAAGTGTGATATGGCATCTGTCATCCCTTTGCAAATGTTTATTGGGATTTCGAAGATCATCATTGCATATGTTGGCACGGCTTGGACGATAGATTTGATTAAGATCTCCTTTCCACCCATACTTAGGAGCTTCTCTTTCCATCCATTTATGCGTTTTGTGACTCTATCAACAAGATGTCTAAAACAATCACTTCTATCAGCTCCCACTAAAGCTGGTAAGCCCAGATATTTACCATTCAAGGATGCTTGCAACATATCACGTTGACTGCATAGAGATTGTATTTATCTTTGATTAGAAACTCATGTTGCCTCTGCCCCCTCGGAGCTTTATCACCATGACACTACAGAAACTTGCTAAATAGCATTGTTATTTGCTCTCGATTCTGGCAATGTTACTTGATTTATGACATTAGAAAATCAGTTTTGTATTTGAAATTTTTTGGGTATGCCTGAGAAGCTATTATTCCTTTTGTCCAGAATAAAATTTGGATTTCCTATGTTCCCAATCCATCATATTATGGATTCTCTTGTTGAATTAGAAATAACAACACAACATCTGCGTGTATCTCTGCATTCATATCTACTACATGTGGTGATCAGTTTGAGAGGTCGCATAGTAGAAACTCGAAAGGTCTAATACTGCACTTATATTCCTCAGCACTTCTCTCCCTATCTGGATTTAACAAACACCTATTTTCATTACATATAGATTTAATTATTTTTCAATGGATCAAACGTGAATCCTCATTCTCGCACAGAATACTAAATAGGTCCCTCCATGATTGATTGGTTTCTCATTTCCTTTGTTTTCCTTCACTACGTTACACGGATACGTCCCTCGCAGCGCGTATCGCATGTCCGATACATTTCGGATATGGATACATGTCCAATACGCCACGGATATGTATCCTCATAGTATTCGATTTTTTTTTGTTATTTTCGTTTTTTAGGAGTTTTTTGTTATTTTCGTGAATATTGGATACGTCATCTGATAGGTAGGTTGCGGCCTAGTCAGTTAGTCGCATGTCCCCCTGTCCCGACGCCCGCACTCCCACACGCCCGCGCCTCGCGCCGCATCCCCACGTGGTGACGCCGCAACCCCACTCGCCGGCCACCGGCGACAAGCCTCTGTCCCTACTCGTCGGCCGCCAGCGACGAGTTTCCGCCCCTGCGACGTGGATCGAACTCCGTGAGTTAATCCCCTTCCCCGTTCTCGATCTGCTCTTCTTCTTCAGTTAGTGGCCGCTTGTTGCTTGAATTATTTGCTCCCCACTTCGCCTTCCTCTCCCCATTCTCGATCTATTCTATTTCTGCAGTGCAGTTAGTGACTTCTTGTTGCTTGTATGCTGTGACTTTTGGTTTGGATGCTCCGCAGGTTGATGCTTTGGATGACAATGAAACAAATGAGTGTTAGGAACTCGCTGCTGCATGAATTTCAAGCCTGAATGCCTTTTATTAATTTCCTAAATTTGATACTACTATATTTGAGGGATGAGGAGACTTCAAACCTGCTGTGGTGTAATAATAGTACACTTAAGTAGTTAATTGTAATGTTTTATTGTTGTGAAATTTTAAATTCAGACTTGCATTATTATTATTTTCATTTCATTCTTTAGATAGTAAACGTATCCGCGTATCAGGTTTTTTAGGAAATTGCAGTATCCGGCGATAGATGCTTGAGCAGAGTTGGATCGCACTTGTGTTCTTAAGTTGTATGGTACGTGGGATAGGTCATCCGGTCCAGAAATCGATGGCTTAAGCAGGTCAATGTTATCTGAAGATGGCATTCACTGCACAGCTAGTTTGCACTATGTTGTTTCAGAATTCTACTCCATTTGATAGGCTTTGTTAGCGTACCTATTTGCTAGTGACAGAACCCTCGGTAGAGGTTTGGGGCACGTTGCTTCTTTTTTTTCTTTGCCCAGGTGTCCATATAAGATGTACAGGGGTCAATGCTATTTAGGATTGTTATTATAACAATTGGCTATAAGATAATACCACCAGTTGAGGAAAATGTGGATGTATTTAAGATGCAGAGGACACAATGAGCTCAAGCTGCCAAAGGATGCTAGTCCAGTTGGTATAGTCACTCCAGCGGAACCCCAGCTAGAGCGAATTTTAGGCTGGTGTTAAAAAATAAAAAACCTCGCTATAGTAGTCAGGGTTTGGAGGGTTTTCTCGGTCGGGGACTGAGAATCTTCTCCTGCCAAGTCTGGTCCGGCCTATGGACCGTGTGTGCGCGCCTTGAGTGCCGCACGGCCCAGGTCCGACAGGCGCCTAATACCGTGGGGGCGGTCTGTACCCCACCGGCCGAGTTTTTTTTTTTACAATGAGCTCAAGCTTTGCGAGGACGTGATTCACAATGTGCTATCGAAAAGAAAAAATAAGATTGAAGTATGATTTACATTAACCAGAATCGTTAATCGTTAAACTATGCAATCTTTTTTTCTTCAAATATTCTGCTGATACATGCGCATTATTCCACTCAGATGTTATCCCAATGAATTATTTGAATATTATTACTCCATCAGTAAGACAGTGATTACTTGTTCACACCTTATCGTCAACAATATTAGAAACTTAAAATGTTAGATTTCTCAGGTCCTACAAGATGCATGAAATCCAGTATGTTTACTCCACTTAAACCTGTCATTTTTATTCTTGACAGCTATTTCAATATGATCAAAACTAGATAGCTTATCTTTTAATTTAACCTGCATGACTGCATGTGTTTTTATTTGAACACAATCCATTGTTCAGTTTGTCACTCTTGTATACTTTATCTCAAGAACTGGCATTGTCTATTCTCTGACCTTTAATCCACAGTCATTTATCTATTAAGAAGACTGAAAAATAGCCTGCTGCCGGAAACCCACATACTGCTTGATTAGAAACACGGATTGCAGTGGGCTGAGGGCTTTGTTGTCTAAACCTGACAGCAACGCTTTTAAAAATGTTCCATGTTGCGTAGTTGATGATATGTAATCACTGGGGGTCAGGACTGCCAATTTTGTCACTCCACCATTGCTTCAGTGTTGTTGCCAGACTCTCCAGTCTGTTTGAGCACTGGCTAAGTTTTTTAATGCAATTAATAGAAAACTTAGCATATGGAAATAGTTATTCCAACAAAAAAAGTTTAAAGTTGGCATTAATATGGCAGAGTTACTTTTTGTGCATTGGTTTTTCTTTATATAGATCTTAATTATTTTTTAGTAGATCAATTGTGAATCCACATTCTTGCACAGAATACTAAATAGGTCCCTCCGTTCACAGGTTTCTCATTTGCTTTGTTTTTCTTCCCTGACTATGGTCACTTGATAAATTCTCTGGCTTTATGTTAGGCAAGGTCCCCTCTGCCGTAGCGCTTACTGCAGATTGATCGAAATTCCAAACGAACATCGCGGTAAGGTGCTACAACATCTGACGGATCATATTGTGATTCCAAAGGTGCTTTTCCTCTTCCGGTCCTTCTCCGCACGGCGAAGCAGTTCTCCGACTACAACATCCGCGAGTACACACGCCGCCGCGCCGCGGATGCCTTCCGCGAGAACCGTGCCCTCGCAGACGCTCCGGCCGCTGCCGCGGCGTTCGCGAAGGGGAAGCAGCGGCTAGAGGTCGCGAAGAGGCAAGCGGTAGTGTACTCGCTCTACGCCCCCAAGGCCAAGAGTGTGATGGAGTTGAAGGTGCAGTGATGGAGTGCTGCCCTCTACGGATTGGTGCCTTTTACGTGATGCTGCAACTTAGAGCTGCTCTGTTATCGCTTTTGCAAGATTGTTGTCAATCGTCATGCCATAGCTGTGCAATAAATCACCAAACCATGCTGCTATGATCTATTATGCTTTGACATGCTATTGTCTGCAAAGCAATCTGCTTCAGGGATTGCAGAATCATCACAACAATGCCATTGTTCGTTGGGCCGAATGTGTCTGCCAAAACGATTCGTATGGAACTGGAGAGATTTCATGACCCGTTAATTAATTTCTCATAGTGCAGCAGAAGCAAAGGAAACAGAACCAAAGATTTTTAAATTCAACCAGTTATGAACAGCCTCGATCGTCGCGATCAGCTAGGCCCTCACAGGCTCACGCTAGCTGACGAGAGAGCCCTCAGCGGCGGCCATGGAGCGGCAGTAGTCGGCGACCTCGCGGAACCTGGGCACGCTCCTGAGGTCGACCTTGGTGCCGTCCTTGAGCGTGATGACGATGTCGCCCCACTCGCCGATGAACCGCGGCACGACCACCACGGACGTCACGGACGAGTAGGGGAAGTCGGTGCGGTCGGCGCCGGAGAGCCCCGAGACCACCGTCACGCGCCGGGAGGTGAAGCGGTACCGCAGGATGAACGCGCGGGACGCGGCCGCCAGCGTCAGCGGCAGCCACAGCAGGGTCAGGCCCAGGAGCAGGTTCGCCGCCAGGTCGCCGTAGTGGGCGCCGCCGTCGAAGAACACCGTCTCGGCGTCGCCTTCGCCGCGCGCCCCCGAGGCGGCGGCACGCGCCGCGACGAGCCGGGAAGCAGCGCCGGCTGAGCGCCTGAGTTGTGGGAGGGGTACGGGATGTAAGGAGAGAACCGGAGGTGGCGTCGGGCGGATAATGGAGGAGACTACCGCGGCGGCAGAAGCGGCGGTGGACGGCGGCGGCATGGCTGGATTGTCTCTGGACTCTGGTTGGTGGTGGAGGGATTGGAACTTGGAAGCGCGCGCGGGTGGGGCTTCTCGTTTCTGGTGGTCATCGTGCGCGCGGTTTGTCACACGTGGCACAACAGGATTGGTGCACGTAGACCTCCTTATGCCCATGAGTTTATCTGCTTTTTTTTTAGAAACATGAGGCCTACGTACGGGTCTGGGCCTAATTGCTCTCTTTTACCATTTCGGCTTGCTCTCTCCAAACTTGGGCTTTGTCTATGCCGCCAGATTCAGGTTCAGCAGTTAACCAAGGAGCTCCCCCCCCCAAAGATAGCCAAGGAACTTACTCTAGGTCGTTTCACTTTGCCGTCTCTATCCAATTAGTAGAGTTATTGGCCATGTTCGCTTAAACTACTTCAGCAGTACTTTTCATCGAACGAACAGTGTTTTCCTCTCACGACAAATTAGCATAAGCCAAATTTCAGCGAAACAAATAGGGCCATTATCTCCCATGATCCCGGTCGTTTTCAAGAGATGAGTTGTTTCCTTGTGTCTCTTTCTTTTGAGGTTTGTGAGTGTGTGTGACCTTCCCTCGAGTAGGCTGAGGTGCTTGAGTTACTTCTAACGGTTATCATTATTTTGCTCTTCTAATAAAATTTTCAACAAAGCTTTTGCCAATTAATTATAAAACAGAGATCGGATAGAGATGATTCACTAAGATACCTGCCACTCTTTTGTCCATGAAGTTGATGATATAGTATCTTCTCTCTCGGACACTACTCCTTTCGTCCTGAAATATAGCATATTTTATTTATCGTAAGTCAACCCATCTTAAATTTAACTAAATTTATAGAAAAGAACAATAATATATTTGACATCATATAAGCTCTATTAGAAACATTATGGAATGTATTTTATACTTCTCTTTTTTGTTGCAGTACAAGTTAATATGTTTCTCTATAATTTTAGTCAAACATGAAGTGGATTGACTTATGACAAATGAAAATACACTATATTTGAGGATGGAGGGAGTACATGCGATTTTCTTCTAGGCACGTAGGAGGACGATAGTAGCACCAAAGGTGGCCACGTACCAGGGTTAGAGGACCTCCACTAGCTTGAAAAAACTCAATCCCCTTTCTGTATAACTAGTGATAAAGGGGATTTGATAAAAAAAAAACTAGCTCCAACAAATCCCTTCCCTATAACTTTTCACAGTCCATCAAATTCTTCTCCCAATCCCTCAGAGAAAGGGAAGAATCATAGAGTTTTCTCGATCCCCTTTCCTTCATCGGCTCGCGATAACCGTTGGATCCATGCATCTACGGTGCTCGTTTGCTTAGCAGACCGCCGCTGCACCGCTATCTGACAGTTTAGGTTGAGATTGTTAATTTCAGAAAAATAGGCCCATTCACCTATTCACCCCTCCTCCTTCTAGGCCGTTGCTCCTTTCAGATGCAGTTTTATCTCGCATGGAGTAAAGGTCTGTTTGGATCCCCTCCTCTAATTTAGAGATAAAGTCCCCAAACATGTTGTCTAAAATTAGCTCTAAACTTTTGCTCACCTTACATTAGAGCTTTAGAGCCTTAAAACTAAGCTAAAGTGTTCTAAAGTTTTTAGAGCTCTAAAGTTTAAAGGAGAGGCTCCAAATAGGCCCTAAATGCAGTCGGATGCTTGGCCTCCTTTTCCAACCGTGCATGCTCTTAGTTCTTGTTGATGGGACGTGTGGCAAGCAACATGCAACATGCAGCGGGGGGAAACCGAAATATTTTTGCGACAATGGATTAAAGAGAGTTAAGGATTCCTTGGTCTTGATAAAAAAAAATACTTGTACGACTATGAAACTTGGATGGAGAGAGTATATATAACTAAGTATAATAACCATGCCACAATAAACACCCCTTTGATCACCATGACACTAGTTTATTATGGCATCATATTACCAACACTGGCCTCAAGTGCTCCATGAGCAAGGGCGCGGGCGCATGGCTGCATTGCACCTACTGCGGTCAACACCGTTGAACGATCAAGGTCTCCTTGTGGTGGTAGCTGGTGGGATGAATGCCACACCCTATCACACCCGCAATTCTCGCTGAGCTTACTGGCATTATCCTTTCCGAGCTTACTATTCTCATAGTCACAATCAGCTTCCTTCATGTTAGCAAGTACACACCTAAGAATGGAATCCCTGCCCTACCATCAACTTTTCTTCAACGTGCAAAATCTCCATTAGAGAGAACATATGTTATGACCAATGACGAGGATGGTCATGACCAAAGCAGATCTAATATAACATGGCAGGAGGGGAAGGGGGATTGGGGCCTTAGCCCCCCTCTCCCCCTAGTTCATGAACTTTTATCTTGAATAGAAGTTGAAGATGAGCCGCTCCTCCTCATCCCTAAATTTATGTTTGTACTAGTTACGCCACACAACGTGCATATATTCTTGTGTTTGCTATATACTTTGGAATAGAGGAAGTAACATAATACAATATTCATACTTTGGTATTTTTATACAATATTCGTACTTTGGTATTTTCCTTTTTTTAAATAATTGGTATTTTCCTATTGTTAGACATCCTTTAGAATGTAGATTTTTTTTTTCTGAATCCTATGTTTTTCATGTAAAATTGTTCTGATTCCTATTAATTTCTAGTACGATACCTATGAAATTCTTGTATTTCAAAAGGGTCCTGATCGAATAATCTTTCCAACCAGAGTTAACTTGCAACACTACATTTTTTTTCCTTACAATCACTCGTAGATGTCTGAACGAACGACGACCTAGTAGAAGAGTGAACCATCCGTCATACTTCCTCTGGCTTTGTTTGACAGATTCTGAACTTTAGTTTCTCTTACATTATATCGTCAATCGCTAAAGAATTGATATCATCTTAGAGTAAACGTGAATGAAAATCTACTTATGCAAGCTGTATGTGCTAAACTTGTATCTATTTTGACTGATTATTAATCAAAATTTACAAAATTTGATTTTTTTCTCTGATCGAAATATACTGATCGTTTCTGCGCGGAAGGAGTAGTACGCGGTACACAGTCAATGTCCTAGATTGGTCACCTCCGGGAAAGAAGGCATGCAGATGCGGTACCAGCCCTCCAGCTCTTCTCCATCACAGTCGCGATGATTCCACGACAAAATCATGAACAGTCTGAGCACAGTCACCGGCACTGACTGACTCCGACCGCGATCCGGCCGCAGACTAGAGATCTGCAGGAGTAGCAGGAGCGTTTTCACGGACGAGCTGGACCTGGACCTCGCTAGGTCGACCCCCCAGGAAGCCCAGAACGCAGCTGGGTCTGCGCCGCCGTCGCATCGCGCCAGGGAATTGCAATTCCCGATCGAGTCGTTTTTCTTGGGGCGTGGTGTGGAAGTGGAACGCGGCCTCGTGTCGTGCAGCGCTGCCGCCTGCATCGCATTCGCATCGCATCTCCTCCTACATGCCATGTGCGCCACACCTGCCTGGCCGCCTGTCCCTGCGCTGCGCCCGCCTGCCTGGGACCTGGTCGACGCGAAGCACGAGCACGGGGAAAGGTCCGCGCAAGCGCGCAGAAATTTGGACCTCCCGCGGGCCTATGGTCCATGGGATATATGGAAGGTAAGTAACCGATCGAGGTCGTCGTCGATCACAAGTTGGGCAAGAACAGGCTCGAGATGGCAGGCACAAGCACAATGCTCAGCTTTGTTGGCCACTGCTCCGGAAGGCGGAAGGAGTCGTCAGAGACAGAGAGGATCCGTTGGTTCGGTGTAAAATCGAATCCTACCTGTATCACATGACGCCGATCGAGTTTTCTAGTGTGCGCGCGTATGCGCGCCACGCTAGCTGCTCTTGCCGTTGCCGTGCCGGGGCAGTCCGTTGCCCGTTGGCACTTGGGCAGTTGGCGACGGTCACATGCCTGTGAATCTGCTGCTGCCGGTTTCCCTCTCATTCCCCTGCGACTAATAAACTCGGCGCTGGCTACAAGCACATAATTTAACGGTCCAGCACGCCATGGCGGGCTGACTTTTGCCGCCGGCTCATGTGAGGATGCCGTCGCGTAACCACAGCCAACCAGGCAGCCAACCGCTGGCCTCCATCTCTGTTCCGTTTCTTCCCTTCCGAATATGCGATGGAATGGATGAAACAAGAAGAGAAACCGGCAACGTGAATGGTAGTAAATCTCCATGCCAATGCATGGGTCGATCTCGCCTCGCGCAAGCATGGTGGTGGTCAGGCCGGCCGGCCGGGCGGGCAAACTGGGACATGGGAGAGGACACATGGTGGCCACTCAGGCACTGTGCCGTCACATGGAGATGGAGGCATGGAGCGGAGGAGGAAGGAGGAAGGGGGGCCCTGGCCAGTGGCCATGCTGCATGCATGCATGCCCCTGCTGCTCGAACACTCCGTCTCAAGTGGGCACTGAACCGATTGATGCTGATGCAACAGTTTGGACGGACCATATGCACACGTAGTCACGTACCAATATACTCCTACTCCTACCACCAGCTGATCACTGCTGAGCCAGCCTCTACTCGTCGTCCTCGCCGTCGCCGAGCCCCATCCACCGGGACCGGGTCACCGTGAGCAGAGCATCTCAGTACGCATCTGGAGACTGGAGGGGACGACACGGAGACCCTGGCCACTGCTCCTCTGCTATCCCTTCCTGCCTTTTTTCTGGTTTCCTCTTCCTCGATGTACCGTGACGTAACACCTCTATTTCAAAATAGAACTTTTTAAACTTTAACTAATTATATATAAAAGAATATTAATATTTATAATACATAATTAGTACGGTTAGATAGATCGTTGAATATATTTTTATAATAAATTTATTTTGAGATATAAATATTACACGTATTTTATACAAATCTAGTCAAAGTTGAAAAAGTTTTGACTGACACGCGTCCCATAATGTCCTTCTTTTTTGGTGTGCCGAGTATGTATTGCACTAGCTACAAGCCTACAACCAACAATTTTGAGAAGTAAGAAAACAAATTGCAGGACGTCGTGTCCTCCTGAGGTC